CACCTATTTTGGTCATATCTCATTTTTTAAAATTAATTGAAACAAACATCTTATAAATTATTTCAAAAGTTGACCTATAAATGCTTTAGTTTTTCATTTTGTAGGTTATTTTAGCTCCCGCTTTAATAAAGAAAGAAGACTAACTATGGGCGCAAACCATACCCCAAGTCCATCAAGAGGAGAAATTACAATCGTCCATTTCGGCAGAAACACCATTAACATCCAATATCCAAATTCTGGCATCAACATATATTACTTTAATTTGTTATTTATTTCACTTAAAAAAGGTTGATTGGATGCTTTGCAGTAATTTCGTCACAAATATAATTATCAAAATGCTATTTTTATTTACTTATAATAACATAGTCATGTTCCCTACTGATCGTGTTATCAGTTATCACAAAACAAGTGCACTCCATTGACATATTTTTACCCTCAAAATTCATAAATTTCATATTATTATAAGTCAATTAGTGAGTCTGATTTATGATGCATTAAACTTGTTATGCCTAGAAAATCAGGACTGACATAAGTTGATGTCAGTGAGCACCAATCAAAGTTCAGGACGGCTTTGCACCGTCAAGAGTCTGCCACATCGTCCAAGACAGAAAAGATATAGCTGTCAACAACGTAGGTCGACTCAAGTTTTGTCTGTGAATGAATTTGGTTTACACACTTGTCCAAACCCCATTTAATTTAAGGATATTCTTAAGTTCTCAACCAATGGGAAGATAGGAGAGATTTGCACGACACAACCTACTTGTAGAAATATAATCATTACTTGAGCTTAGCGGGTATAAATAGGCAGCTCGTCTCACAAAATCAGGATCAAACACTCTAAATTCAAAAAAAAAAAAAAAAAAAAAAAAAAAAATAGCAAAGACACACTACAAGAAAGAGACTAGCTTGATATTCTATAAGAACATTTAGAACACCAAACACCTGTAACACAAATCGCAGTTCACGACCTCTTATAATATTGGCTAATAACTAGGAACACACCAGGATAAAAGAAAACAACGGATGTATGATTTGCTTTAAGCTTCCGAACCACTATAAAAACTTTTGTTGTCTCATTTACTTTTACGTCTTTACATGCTACTGTGAAAACAATACTCCATTCAAATCTTATAATCATTTACGTATAATTTCTAAGACTTCCTTAACACTTTGCATGTGGGAGGTTGTTGGTGTCAAAATCTAGCATTAACAAAACTTAAAATTATAAGTTAGAATTTCAATATTTATTAGGCAACTCAAGCTTTACAACCTACAACTACAAGGTCAAGATATTTCAAAATTCCCAAAATCTTAAAGATTCTCAACTCCAGCCAAGGAAGTACCTCATACTTGACTATGGAATAAAGGTCTTCGGATATGAATTTGTTTCTAAAATTTTAATTTTCTTCCCTTGGAATTCGTGTAGATAGTGTTTGTTTACAAATATTGTATTATTCAAAAAAAAGAAAAAAGAAAGAAAGAAAGAAAGAAAGAAGTTAGAAAATGTCATATATGTGTGTGTGTGCATAGGATTGGACTCAGAGGTTTGGGAGATTCGATGGCGTTTAAGCCTGAAAGGTTTGTTAGTAGATGATGAATAAGTCATAAATAATATAAAAAAGAAAATAATATCTAAACCATAAAGTCATTAACTTAAAAGAGAAGAAACTAACCAAGTGATAAAATTATTAAGAAAAAAGAAAAAGTAAGATGTTGATTGAATTGGCCATCATGAATTCATGATCATGGGACTTTCTCTCCCTCCAACGACTTTCATGTCTTTACAACACTGTTTGTATTTAACTTTCAACCCCACCCAAATCTCTTTCCACAACCTCGCCCCATATCCTCCATTCATTCTTTTCAATCTGTGTGTACATTTTCATGTCATGTCTATTACTTTTGATATAATTTCTTCATTTTTTGCTCCTATGTAACAATGTTTCCATAAATAGGCCCTACTATGGAGACTAGATCCCATTTGCAGCCTTGGTTTATTAAACTTTTTGTCTTACTGCTTCTAATTGCCTCAGGTCTGTTAGTGTTCCCACAATTTATTGTCCTCTTTTCAAATCCTTCAAGTGTCCACATCCTTGCCCTTTGAGTTTCGTCAAGCTTTGTGTTATGGACAATACAACATTTATAAATCTAATGTCATAAACTTTCTCTCGTAACTTTAGTCAGCTCGTAATGAATCTTGTTTGGCTAATTACAAGTTGTTATATTGCGGTTGTGAGAAAAAAATTATAAGATTGGATTTTGAATCAATTTTTAATTATACAATAATCTCTCTTTCTTATGTTTTTTTTCTCCACACGCCATCTCTCTCTCTCTCTCTCTCTCTCACACACACACACACACACACACTCTCTTACTTTTCATACTAAAGTTTCACTTTAAAACTCACACTCTCACCACACCCCACTTCATCTCACACACTAATACTATTTTAATGTAAACCATTTTTCCTAATTAAATAATAATTTTAAAAGTGAGTAAACAATAAGTTCGGTGACTTGAAAGTTATATAAAAATATCATAAGATTAAAAAAACTAAAAAAAAAAAAAAAAAAAATAATTGTTAAGTGAAATTTATTGTGCTCATAGTTATTATAAGTATTGATTATAATCTTTCAGTTTTTGGGCAACTATAACATTTTTAATTAATTTGTCCCCAATAGTTACAGAAATTAATCAAAGGACCAAAATTTATGCACCCTAATATACGTATTAAGAAATTTAAAACAATAATAATAATTATATAAATAGTAAATTACTTTAGAAAGGGTTAAAATGGTAAAACCACATGTGGAGCTGTGTGCGTCCTCCTAAGCCCATACTATAGAAAGGGCCCAACAGGAAGTAGAAAGCTGAAAAGAGAGGAAAGGGTAAGCCCAATACAAACAAACCCAGTCCACATAAGCTGTATGGCAGTCGCCTATTAGTCACATGGTAGCCAGTGCACAAAGGTTGCATGCGTGGCAGGATCTGTACAAATGGGCTCATAAGGAGACAACACAAAGAACACGGACTCACCATAACTCCGTTCTCCGAAATCTAAGTGATAAAAACTCTCTCAATGATTATTCATGAAAGTTGGTGGACATTTAATTGCTATTGGCTATTACCTAAAAAATTCCTTAGAATCTAGCAATATATACCAAAAATAAGCTCATTTCTTTCTAAATATAAGTCTGCCTCAAGNTATGTTTTCTGCAAAATATATAATCTCAGCTCCATATTCAAATCTCATGGATCCATCACGTGTGATTCCTAAGTCCGCTTAGCGCTTCTCACGTGCGAGTCGTTGGCGTCCAAAATCAAGCGTCAATAGTTTGGTGGCCATGCAGGTCCGATTCTCAAGCTTGCGTCCAAGTTCCCTGATGGCGTGCTCAGATCTCAAACCTGAGTTAGAATTCTCCAATTGTGTGGCCAGATCGCAGATCGCACACGTTAGAATTCTCCAATTGTGTGGCTAGATCGCATGCGTCAAAGTTCTCCGATCGCATGGCCAGATTGTAGATCTCACGGGTTAGAATTCTCCGATCGCGTGGCCAGATCGCAGATCGCATGCATCAGAATTCTCCAACTGCGTGGCCAGATCGCAGATTGCATGCATCAAAGTTCTCCGATCGCGTGGCTAGATCGCAGATCGCACGCCTGTGCCGTCCTGATCCTTGGCTTCAGATCGCTGATCTTTAGCTTCAAATCGCGTGTTCAGATTTCTGATCACATACTGAGATCGATGATCTCTTATGCTCTTAGGTAGAGCTCGTTATGATCTCTCAGGTCGTTTTGACCTCTAAGATTGAGGTCGTTTTGACCTCTTAGATTGATGTCGTTTTGACCTCTCAAGTCAAGGTCGTTTTGCTCATTGAGCTCGTTTTGACCTCTCAGGTCGAGGTCATTTTGCTCATTGAGGTTATTTTGACCTCTTAGGTTGAGCTCGTTTTGACCTCTCAGGTTGAGCTCATTTTGCTCAAATTGAGCTCGTTTTGCTCTCAAGTTAAGCTCGTTTTGCTCTCAAGTTGAGCTCGTTTTGCTTAGATTGAGTTCGTTTTGCTTTCAGGTCGAGGTCGTTTGCTCTTAGGTTGAGCTCGTTTTGCTTTCAGGTCGAGCTCCTAACAGATCTCAGGTCGTTCTCCTAACAGATCTCAGGTCATTCTCCTAACAGATTTCAGGTCGAGTTCCTAACAGATCGCGATCAGCTCCAAGCTCTCAGCACTTGATCGCGCCAGATTTCAGTTCGAGCTCTTCAGTTCGAGACTACAGCCATTCAGATCAAAGACTTTAGTTTCTGAAGCGCGATTATGCACTTCAAAAACCGGGGGGCTTCTGTTATGCCTCAAAAGTCACGCTTATGTCAGCCTAATAAATATGCTGCCAGGCCTATATCTCCTCAAAGATATTCTTACCAATCCTATCTCCTTTCAAGAAATGAATGGACGAGAGCCTTCCATGCGTCAAGGCAACTTGCAAAACACTTATTACATTGAGTGTTTAGGTGTATAAATTGGCACTCCTCTTGCCGAAGAGGGGGGCTGGGCATACGAGAGCTAACCATAGTTTGAGCTCAATTTTCTGTCTGTGTAAACACTGTATTTCTTCATCTTTGTATGTCTTCTGGGCAATATCATAGAAATAGTCAGAGATCAATAAAATAACAGTGGATGTAGGAGTCGTTTATTGAGTATCTGAACCACTATTAAAACCCCTCTTGCCAATATTTTATTTATGTTTTCTGCAAAATATATAATCTCAGCTCCATATTCAAATCTCATGGATCCATCACGTGTGATTCCTAAGTCCGCTTAGCGCTTCTCACGTGCAAGTCGTTGGCGTCCAAAATCAAGTATCAACACTTGAGAACTGAATTTTAAGTTATTAACATAATATTCTTCAGCAGAATTCTTATAGAGTAAGAAAGCGAAATCCAACAGCTTAAATGTGCATGATATTAATGTTTATTTAATGATTCTCGTAAATTATGTGTTTTCCAGATCAGTTTAAATGAGTAACATTGAAGAGACGCTTATTATTAAATCAGAAGCAGAAGATGGAAGTTTGAAAGGGAGAGTTTGGATGGAATCGAAGAAGATATGGAGAATTGCATTTCCAGCTATATTAGCAAGAATGGCTTTGTTCGGAGTTATCCTGGTGACTCAAGCATTTGTTGGACATATGGGAGCGTTAGAGCTATCGGCTTTTGCAGTTGTTCAAACAATTCTCGTTAGATTTGTCAGTGGGGTAACAGTAAGTTTTTGTATTCCTTTTTATAACTTTTGCTATAAATTAATAAATTTATATGCTTTCCTGATGGAATTAGGTTGCAAATTAAAGAGACCTTTTTTTCTATTATTTTAATGAATTAATTATTGTTTTAAGTCTAGTAGTTTTAACATGTAATCTAAATTCTAAACACACATGTTAAAATCATAAGACTATAAATTTTTAATGATATATATATACGGTCACATGTTAACGAAACATTAATTGTGTAAAATTGTGATTGTCATTTAGTTGATAATCAACATTAGTGAGTGTTGACGTGTTTGACGAGAACATCGTGGTGCATGTCAATTTTGATTTGAGTTACCCATTTAAACATCCTTTCTGAAAGCTTTAATTTCCACAACCGTTGGCCCATTTTTTGTCCATTTTTGCAACCGACGTTCTTTAAGTCAAACCTATGTTACTCAAGAAAGAATTAAGCATATTTCCTATTTTTTTTTTTTTCTTTTCAAGAATAATTACTCAAACCCTAACTAATTGGTTGGAGGTTCAAAGCCTGTTTTTGGAGATTTGATTCATTCCGAATTAAAGAATTTAGAACATCAGAACAAAATGGTTCATTTTAACTGTTAAAACTACGTAATCCGTTTCCTATGTCTTTATTTCTATCTTATCATAAGATAGACTCAGGCTTTTTATTTTGCTTTAAGCCCCCGTGTCCGACGAATCCTTACGTAACAATTTTTGTTAATATTATTCATATAAAAGACGAGCCAAACAATTTCTTTAGCTTATATTATTTACACTCTAGTCTACCATTAATCTCTCTTCAAGTTTCCTTACTACTTGCTATATTTCTTGCAGTCTTATTTTAACCTGTAGTAAAATATCTTATTCTAATAGTAATCTTGTGAATTGAACAATATTCTTATCATGCAAACATGTCCATGAAAGCGTCTATTTATATTATCCCTTATTGCCTTTAACAGCTTGGCATGTCAAGTGCTACAGAAACATTATGTGGTCAAGCATTTGGAGCTGGACAATACCACATGATGGGCATCTATTTGCAACGTTCATGGATTGTTAGTACTTCTGCTGCAACAATTTTCGTCCCTGTATTCATCTTTGCAACTCAAATCTTCAAACTACTCGGCGAGGAAGACGACATAGCAACAGAAGCAGGAATAATATCACTTTGGTTCATTCCTGTTCTCTACTCCACAGTCTTTAGCTCCACCATGCAAATGTTCTTACAGGCTCAACTCAAGAACTTTGTTATAATATGGCTCACTGTTGCTACATTTGCCATTCACGTGCTTTTGTCTTGGATTTTAGTTTACTTGTTGAACTATGGTATTCCGGGTGCAATGGTCGCGATGAACATTTCGTTTTGGTTGTTGGTATTTGGGGAGTTCGTGTATATATTGAGAGGTTGGTGTCCTGATGCATGGAGAGGATTCAGTAAAGCTGCATTCTCTAATATTTTACCCGTGATCAAGCTCTCAATATCTTCTGGTGTGATGATTTGGTATGTCTACTTCCCCTGCTTTGATTATAATTTATTTATTTTAAAGCAACTATGTATTATATTTATAATTACAGAAAAGCTAGAGGTACCACAAACCACTAAAAATTTGAAAATTTGACACATGTCTAAATTAAATGACACAATTAAAGAATAACTTAAAATTAAGGATTAAATTAAAAATAGCCATATATCCAAATTAAAGAAACCAAATGATGGTGATACACATTTTTTCCATTGATTTCCGTTGATTATTTGGCAGAAGAATCAGAAAACAAAGACGGATTTGGAAAAGTAGATAAAAAAACAAGAAAATAAAGACGGGGGTGGTTTGTTAAGCCCAAAGCGCTGGCAGCCAAGCATTGCAGCCTGATGCTATGGCCTGAGTGGCCGGACTTCATGGCCTCACGCCGGCGAATCAGTGCAGTTGGGCTTCGCTACCTATTTCACCAGCCACCACTTGCTTTCACCAATTCCTCTCCTACCATCACTAAGGACAACCATCGCAACCACCATGACTTCTAAAATCATCACCACCAAACCATAAATTATTTGCACAATACAACAAGACAAACAGTCGATGATTTAGTTTCAAATGCTTAGATTTATTGGGTAACAACATTGCTTTGTTTCAATTTTGCTTTTCAATCGTTAGATTTGTTGGATTCCATTAAATGAGTTAAAACTAGGGGTGAAATAGAGTCAAATCGAGTCAAGTATTTGACTACTCGAACTCAACTCGATTGCTACAATACTAAGTTCAAGTTCGAGTTTGAGCCTAAGCAATGGAGATTGAACTCGATAACTCAAAGGGATACTCGAGCTCGGTTAATTGAGCTTTCGAGCTTGAGTTTGAATTCGAGCTCAAGCTTGGCCAAAAAATCTGAAAACAAAAAACCAGTAGACCAAAATGGCAACAAGACTTGGAAACGTTTCATTTACTTCCCAAAAACAATTTCTCGCAAATACAAAACATTTCTTCCTCCTAATTCTCTCTACAAACAACACTTACATTAGCAGCCAACGAATACCATTTCCACGGCTCCACCCACTACTACTACCCACCATCAATTACATTACTCTTTCTTTTAGTTTCACTCCTCCTTAAATGTTCAACCTGCAAAAGACCATCTACGTTAACTCTCATGGCTGCCTCTACCAGTACCAACCCCGTCACAATCCTCCTACTTTCCAGCCCCGTCACAATCCTCCTACTTTCCAGCCCCGTCGAAAAAAAAGAAGATAATCCTCATTACGGATGACACCGAAATCGGAAAATCTCACCTTTCTATTGATCTCGCCACCAGGAAATCATCTTGAAAGTAATAGGGGAGATAGGGGCAAATTGGTAGAGTAGATAGACAGAGAGGTTTTAGTTTTAGGTTTTTTTTTTTTTTTTTTTTCAACTATCAAAATTCCCAAATCTATTTTTATATGTTGGGTGGATTTTCAATTTTAAAAACTATAAAAGTTCATATGGTCCCCTATTAGTTTCAAAACTATCAAATGCACCCTTGAGCTTCCTGAAACTCGTGAACTTTTCGAGTCGATCAAGGCTGTGTTCGAACTCAGCTCGACACTGTAGTTGAGTCGAGCCAAGCATGAATTTGATTTGACTTTTGTCGAGCCGAGTCGAGCATTTATCGACTTGGCTCGACTTTCACCCCTAGTTGAAACATAGGAAACTATAGATAGAAAGAACTGCAGTGGAGATAAGTGAAAGAACGACAAGTGTGAGAGAAAATTAGTTTTAAGCTTTGAAATTTGGAATTATAAAATAAAGATTAAAACATTAAAGTGTGTTCTTAATGAAATTGACACATCTCAAACTTTTAGTGGCTTGTGGTACCACCGTTTAGACCTGGGTAGAGACCGGTCCCAAACGGGTATGGGTTTGGCCATTGGGATGGGACCAATCACTCATGGTCCTAGGCCCATGAAAAATTTCAAGGCTCGGATCGGTCCTATGGGCCAAATAAAATTAAGGGGCCAAAAAAATTATGTAGGGAGGGTTTATGTAATTTTTAGGAGGATATTAATAAATTTTAAATTAATTTTAAAAAATAATATATAAATTAATGGTTAATTATAATTAATAATTATTTATAAATATAGGGTGTTTTAAATTTAAACTTTAAAGATATAATTTAATTAATTAATTTTAAAATAAATGTAATATTCAGACAATCACACTTCACAAATAAACAATTAAATAAATTTGTTTTTATTAAATTATTCATTTACATTGTCAACAATATTTACATCATTCAAATTTGTGTTTTTGAAGAGTTCGAGTAGTTTAGGATCTTCAGGGTAGTGTTGTAGTCTTCTCTCTACATAAGTCCAATCTCGTAAACACATTATCACTTCATTCATCTCATTGGTTAAAGAGCATCTTTTGTCTTCAAAACTCCGACTACTCGTTGAGAATGCTTACTCTGATGCAATTGTTGAAACCAGCACAAATAAAATGTCACGTACCATTTGGGCTACAATGTGAAATTGACTTTGATGTTGATTTCACCATTGAAGCACATCTATCTCACGTTTCTCTTTCTTCATCATGTAGGACATGTCCATTTATAGGTAACGATTCAGCTTACTTGGTCCATGAATGTACGAGCTAGAGCTGCTACTTTCGCCATGTTCTATATACGTCCACATGCTCGATCCTTGATAGATGTCTTCATCAAGGTCTTGCTAGTCATCTCTGCTAGACGTTCAACTTCCATTGTACCTGCGTCTCTGATATAAAGAAAAAAGGCTTTCCAATTTTTGCTTAAAATTAGTCAAATAAGACGTATAATCATGTCTTAAACGCTGACATATCTTAGTAATTATACAATTAGCTACGTGTAATTTAAACCTAGAATCTACAACAAAGCCTAATCCATATAAGAATGAAGTATCTAACCAATATTTCTCAAAAAAATTTCCATCTTTGAAACAATTTCCATTAAGACGTCATTATATCTATATTTAGCAAAAGTTTTATAAATTTGAAGTAAAATATCTAACGCTAAATTAGTAGTAGGATAATAAATACCACTTAATGTATTAGTGTAATCATAAAAAACTTTAAGAAATGAATAAAAAAGTTCGCAAACTATCCAATCATCATAGCTGACAACTTCCTCTGGATAGTTCTTCCTGGACGAAATCTATGATTTGTCTTGTGGTTGACAAAGCTTTTTCCAACATCAAGTAAGTGGAGTTTCAACGGATATACATGTCCGTACATAACTTCAAATGTCAAACTAGTGGATCCTTTTGCTTACAATATTTGATGTACTCTTGTCATCTTTTATTACTATAACCGATGATGAATCCGATAGCCGCGCGCACCCTCTCTATCTTCAAATTTATAGCTTATAAACCTGCTTTAACAACCAAATTGATGATGTGACAAGCAAATCTCTTGTGAAAAAATTTGCCTTCACCATGCAGATCCAATCTCTTTTCAAATAAAGAGATTGTCATGGTGTTAACAACTGCATTATCTAGCGTTAGCGCTACAACTCTATCAGTTAATACATATTCTTGTAAAACTTCAATAATTGCAAAATAAATAGTGTCAGCATTTTGTGCAGTACATAATGGTTTAAAACCTATCAATTTTTGTTGTAAACCCCAACTATGATATAAGTAATGTATTGTGACAATTAAAAAATCTGTTTTTGATCTATAAACCCATATGTCTGAAGTAAGTGCAATAGATATATTCCTAAAATTTTGAAATTCGTTTATAAGTTGAACATTTATTACCTCTACTAAAGGGGTATATGCTGGACAAAATGCATCTTTAATCATGTGAATAAAATAAGGATTTTCAGATAAAGAAATTGGAGAGTCCAAAGCAATTATGTATCTTGCTATTTCCTCTCATGCTTGGAGTGCATTGTATTGTCATGGTGACAGAGTTGAGGATTATGGATTAAAATTAAGTTGAGTTTGAATTTGCTTATCGAGTCCGGTTGAAGATGAACCAAATAGCTGCATTAATTGGGGGTGCTTCTTCTCCAAGTGTAGCAACATCGTCGAAGTTCTGTTCTCAGTGTCGATAATGGTTTTACAAAAATTACATATCCCGAACGTTTCTTCCCCCTCCCCATTTGTCTTTGTTCGTTTTGATTTGGTGAAGTATCGTCATACCCCAGACATGGCCCTCTTTGACAGTTGGGGTCGGGGCGTGGAGTCGCAGCCACTTATGTTTCGTTGCACTGGGTCTTGACTGAATGTGGTTGTTGAATTGCAGTTGTTGCCTTTGGAAAGGGTGAAAATGGATCGAACCCTTCCATTTCTTCGGTGGACGGAACGTAAAACACATTTGAGGATAATCCTCCAAATGCATAATTTTGGGAATTCATTATGAATTTATAATAAATAATTAAAATGAAAAAATTGAATAATAATATGAATAAGAGATGAAATGGAAAAATAGAAGAAATTGAATAATATAAATAAATAAATAAATAAATAATAATATGAATAAATTATAAATTGAATTGAACTGAATATGAATGAGAATTGGAGTAGAGAGATTGAGAGAATGAGAGTTGGTGGGGGGAGACACCCAACGGTAATGTGTAATTCATTTTACTTTTTTTTTTATTTGGTAAAATATCAATTTAACCCTCAATTTTTTGTCAATTTCAAAATTTATAGGAGGTCTTTTGACTTTGTCCAAGGGCTTTTGGAAAAAGAGGAAAGAGGTTTGGGCTTGGGCCTGAGACTGGAGGAGGGATCGAACCAGGGCCCGGGCCCTCCTCCATGGGCCTGGTCTGGGTTTGGGACTAGGCCTCCTAGGATCGGTACTCATAAGGATTAATCCTAGGATCGGTTTTTTGGGCCCGGTCCCAAATTCCCACCTCTACCACTGCACCTTTGTATTCTAGCTTTTTTCTTATAATTAATAGGGATGTCAAAATAACCCATAGGTTTGGGTAGACCTGGCAAACGAGTGAGCCAGACGGGTACGAGTCGGGTAATCATGGTAACGCGTCAAACGGGTAAGGAAATGCACCACCCGTACCCGCCCGTGCGGGTACAGGTTGACCTGCAGGTCACCACAAAAACAAAATCATATGGAATTGAGGAGATGATGTCTCTATACTAAATGAAAGTCAACAAAGCTTTGCTAGTTTTCTTTTCATTCAAACAACTTACTAACAATTACATATATAACTACATAGATATAAAACAGGAAATGGATCAAGAATTTAAAGAAAATGAAATACATTTATCATTTTGAAGCATGTTCTGAGTTATTTAAAAAAAAAATAAAGTAGGATAGTACCTTGCCATAGTTTGGAAAGTTTGTTTTGAGGATGTACTCAACAAGAGTAGGGTCACTGGTGAAAATCTCATTTCTAGGGAAGGAAGACAATCAGTAGCTTTTATATTGCGTGAAAGGTCAGTCATTAAGTCAAAAAGCTTGTAATAATTGAGTACTTGGTTCGGGGGAGAGGTGGCGATTGGATGAATTTTTTAGTCTTCTTGAGGCAATTTTTTGGCATGGAATCTGAGGAAGAAGATGGCAGAGATTAGTGCTAAAGCTGCCGCTGTGAGAGGGATGAAGTAGGAGGAAAACTCATTTCGGTCGATCATGATTAAGGGTAAGGAGATGAGATTTGGATTCAGATCAAAATAGAAACAATAATATTAACCCCACTATAAGAAATAATTATTACTAAAATTTATGACCACCAGGCCAAGAGTAGAAGAAGCCTCTTGAATGTTTATCATTTTTTTTTTTTTTTAATAAATGATAAACATTCAAGTTAAATTGAGAGCTGAAGAAAAAGAGAGAGAGAGATTGAGAGCTGCCTGAGGGGTGTCTGTATGAGCCTATAAACTGATCAAATTAGTTTATAAGCTCAAAAATTAAGTTGACCTATTTGTTTATAATTTTTTTGAGTTTATAAGCTGAACTTATAAGTCAAAATTAGTAAGTATGAGGGAAGATACTTTTTTTTTTTTTTTTTTGCCTATAAACACTTTGCTTATAAGCTATTTTGACCAAGTATATTACCACATTATTCTTTTTTAATTTTAAAATTTCATGCTATACCCTTATTTTTAATAATGTAGTACTATTTCAGTCATTTTAATAATAAAATATACTTATAAGCTACATTTTACCAAACGCGTCAACTATTTATCAATCACTTATAAGTACTTTAATCAAATACGTAACTGCTTAAATTTTTAATGCTTATAAGCAGAAATTAGAGTATAAGCACTAGCTGCTTATAAGCTAATTTTCATAAGCTCAACTAAACAGGCTTTGAGAGAGAAGACGAGCTACGTGAGAGAGAGATTGAGAGTTGCATGAAGAGAGATTGAGAGCTGCGTGAGAGTCTGATAGAGATGACAACTGTTGGTGCTAGGCTGCGTCAGAGAGAAATGGTTTAGGGTTTTTTGGGTTTAAGTTAAATGCGAGTACCCATGGGTATTACTCGGCCCACCCATCATTTTTACGGGCGGGTCGGGTACGGGTCCAACATTGCCAGGTCTAGGTTTGGGGTTCCAAGGAGCCCTATCCTAATTAGTTGAACTTGAATTGTAAAAATTTTGGGTTAGTCGGATTTGGGTTTGAATATCTTGATCCAAATTATTTTTGCACAGATATGGGAATTATAACTTTGACCTTGAACTGTCGTATTCGTCCCAAATATATATAAATATGAATAAATAATTGTAAAAAATATTTAACATTAAGATTATAAGTATTACTTATAAAATGTTATATTATATTTTTTTCAAACAAAAACAAACCCTAGCCACCACAACCTTATTCCTCTATTGACTTACCAAATTGATATTTTTCCATCTTCTTCACTTGTGAATATGAAAATAAGGTATGTGATTAAATTGTTGAATCTATAATTACTAACATTATAAATTTTATTCAACTTTATAATTGTATGAACATTAACTTTATATTAAATTTAACATTAACTTTATATTAATTTTGTTTCTTTTATATTGTCAAATTAAGTTGTTTAGGTTATGAATTATTTTTGAATTATGATTTTACGTCATTTGAAATCAGATTTATTATAAAATTATATTTAAATTCAATATTTTTTTTTTTTTTTTTTTTTTGTTTATGATTTGTAAGGATCATTTTTGCGGTAGAATTATTAAACTTGAATATAAATTTTATATTTAATAATTAAAATTACTATTTATCAATTTGTTTACTTTATTTTAAGAAATAGTTTGTATATTTGTGTTAGAATTCTTTTATATATATATAAAAAAAGGATCAAATGAGACGATCCAAGGTTTTCCTCTAAAAACATAAGCCAAACCTGAACACGCCCCATTTTTTAGAATGGAGAATGGGACAGATTTGAGTATTCATAAAAGAGGTGGTAATGAGCATAGATTTCTTGGTATCCAACCCAACTCGCCCCATTAACATCTGTAAAAATTAAGTATATATGTTGTAGTTTAAAATATATTTTTGTTACCCACAGTTATTTTTGTTGACAATTCAAGGGTATAGACTCTCTTTATAATTCATTTAAATCAACTCCTCTTAATTGGCTACAACATCTTTGAACTTTGATAAGTAGTGCGGTAATTAATGAAATGCACTGCAAGATATTATGGTTTTAAAAAAAGGAATTAATCATGTATATTAACCTCGAAATTTAAAGAACTTTTTGATTCGTTTATTCCATTCAGTGAACAATAATTTTAATAAAAAATCTTTCTCATATAAACTGATGTGATAAAAAATGATTAAATGATTTTAAATTAAAAAAAATTTCACTCTATCATCTTTTGCTACATCAGTTTGTATAAGAAAGTTTGTATGTAGTATTACTCTTCAGCGAATGTCATACATGTATTGTAAATGCATAAAATGTATATCAAGTTCTTAATAAACTATATATAGAATCTATATTTGCATTATCAAGTTATACTAATTATGCGGTATTGTCCCTGTATATCTAATAGCTTGGAGTTATGGTACAACTCAGTTCTGGTCTTACTGGCGGGTTATATGAAGAGTGCAGAGACTGCAATAGCTACATTCTCAATCTGGTAATTACTCTTGCATTTACATCAAATTAATTAACAAAATATTACCACTACTCATCACAATGAATCGCAGCCTTAACATTGCAACATGGGAATTGATGATAGGCCTCGGCTTCCTAGTTGCAGCAAGGTGACACTTAATTTTCAATAATATAACTCTACTATTCTCATTTTATATTTTTCTAATAGCATGTTAAGTGAAACTGATATCTAGCAATTGATGGTTCAGCGTGCGGATATCCAATGAACTGGGGAGAGGAAACACTAAAGCTGCAAAATTTTCCATCAAAGTCATTCTAAGTACTGGGACGTTTATTGGAGTAATATTTTCAGTGGTATGTTTATTTTGGAGTCATCCAATAGCATACGTGTTTACTAGCAGTGAGGAAGTCGCAAAATCTGTGTCAAGCCTCTCTATCCCTCTTGCCTTTTCAGTCTTGCTCAACAGTATCCAACCAATCCTCTCAGGCAAGTAAAATTGATTAATTGACCATATATATATATAAATGAATTTAATTTATCATATATAAGTTAAATACGTATCAATTCAAATTCCTGGAACCTCAAGATGAGATCCCTTGAGTTCAAGGGTTTTATTCGGACTGAGAACTAATTTAATTATCATCTTTATGCAAAACTTTACGTGATCCTTGGGATTCTGTCATTTACATTTTTTTATTAATTTTTGACATTTCTTTTATACTGTTTATCTTTGTTATTTAACTGTGATAAAATAAAGATTTAAGGTAGTTATATTTAAGCCAAATTAACACATTTCATCACCATTGTATCAACATGATACTTTTTCAGTATATAAAAAAATGAATGTAAATTTGTCATTACATATTAATGCATTTACTTAGAAAATTATTGTAAACAGGAGTTGCCATTGGTGCCGGTTTGCAAAGTGTGGTTGCATATGTAAATATCGGTTGCTATTATATGGTTGGGGTGCCAATTGGAGCTTTGCTTGGATATGTTGCCCATCTTGAAGTGAAGGTAAAATTCTAATTAATTCATGAGGTTTTGAAATTTTAAGTAATTTTCAGTGTTCTTGAGAAATCCCTTCATAACTCAAGGTATTTTCTATTAAAGTTAGAATGTTTGATTACATGCCAAAATCGAGACTGAAATATGTTATTTGGAATAAAATAGATTATTATTACTAAAAAAAAAAAGAAAAAAGAAAAATTTCAGATAATAATAATATAGTAATTTGTTTATTATATTACAATTAATTGAGATTAAAATCTATCAAATAATGCGTTGTATTATTATACATATATATGTTGTCTACTATAACAGGGCATATGGATTGGAATGATATGTGGAGTGGCAATACAAGCACTTTCTCTTCTTTTTATGACATGGAGAACAGATTGGGAGAAGCAGGTAACTAGTATTATTCATTATTCTTTATTCGCGAAGATTTTGCATCATTATTTATTGCAACTAACACTTTTTTTTCCCTTGATTTACAGGTCACAAGCGCATCTGAACGTCTCAATAGATGGCTCTTAAACGCCCCTGATCAAGAATCAAATCAAAGCCTTATTCAGAATTCAGAATAGAAAAAAGGAAAAAAGAAATGCTGCACGACCTCTTTAATTACGGGTTAAATAATACTCACTGCTTTAACTTTAGTTATCACTGACATATAATTATTTGGATTGTAGGAAGATCCAATTGATTTCTAATTATTGAAAGTGTTTTATGTTGTGTGGTAAATGCTTGAAGCATGGATTCATGCCATGTGTCATTCTTTTAGGTTAATTTTATTTATAAGTTTACAATTTTAACAATGTATAAGCTTACTGTTATGCTATAATCTGAAAACGCCTAGAACAAACACACACAACAATCAAAACAGTCACACAAAACACTAGAATTACTATTTGAGCAAGCTACGTTCACGTTGAGCTATGGAAATGGGGAGCTCGCTGCACTACTATTAATATTGAATCATCAATTAATTTACAGCCCTATTCAAGAACATGCTCAAGATCCTCCTCTCACAATCCTGAAATACAACCCATAACCTGAGTCTAGGGAGACTCTAACCCACAGAATCCCTAGAACAAGAGCTATCCCACTCTTCTCCGAATGATTAATACAAATCACTCAAGAATCACACAAGTTACACTCAATTTCAGATCAGAATTGCAAACCCTAACAACAAACACAAAACAAAGGAGAATGCTTTGAAAGAGGATTAAAGGGTGTTTCTGAAATTTGTTGCGCTTTTATATTATTGACTTGAAGTAGGAATTCCAGCCGTTGGATTGGTGTTGAATGAGCGATCAGGATCCAACTCAAAGAACTTATCCAAACGGTGACGTTTCACTAATCCTCCAAAAAGACGACGTTTTTGCATTCACTTCAACAATCTCCACTTGAATGCTAAAAACTCTTCTAGTGCAGCAAGCTCATACCAGATCCCTCATAGCTCCTGCCCCTACTGCTTACTTCACGAACAATAAGTCCAAGCAGCGCTTGAACTTGGCAGGGGAGACAATCTTTGCTCCCATGTCAGTTGGATTATCTTTAGTTGACAGTTTCCTCAACTCCTTGAGTGACTAAATCTCTAGCAAAATGAAAGCGAACATCTACATGCTTTGTCCTCTCATGATAAACTGGATTCTTGCTTAAATGGATTGCACTTTGGCTGTCAGAGTATATGATTACCTTTCCCTCTGTCAAATTTGATTCAGCCAATAACCCTTGCAGCCAAAAAGCTTCACTGAACACATCGACAATAGCAATATACTTAGCTTCAGCCGATAAAAGTGCTAAAGCTGAGACTTCCAGCTTATACAATGTCCACGAAGAGTGAATTAATACAAAGTAGTAGACTTTCTCGTATCTTTGTCACCTGCAAGATCCGAATCTACAAAGCCAACTAAGTCAAGTGAAGCATGCCTTTTACAAAACTCTAACCCAACATTCAAAGAACTGTTAATATACCTCAATACCCACTTTAAGGCAGCCTAGTGTTCACTACCAGGATTAGCCATAAATCGGCTCAGCAAGGAAATGACAAATGATAGATCTGATCTAGTGCTTATCATCGCATACATCATAGATCCAATTACATTAGCATAAGGGACATATTCCATTTTTATTAATTCTGCTTTAGTTTTTGGGCATTGACCCTTATTTAGTACAAAGTGGTTTGCAAGGGGCATAGAAACCAATTTGGAATCTGTTATTCCAAACTTGGATACTGGTTTGCTAAGGTATGATTGTTGCCTAATTTTCAACTCATATTTGCTCCTATTTCAAGTTATATCCATTCCTAGAATTCTCTTGGCATTTCCTAAGTCTTTCATGTCAAACTCAGCATTGAGTTTGCTTTTTAGCTCAAGTATCTTTGACTTGGACTTACTAACTAGCAACATACCATCCACATACAGTAACAGATATATAGGCATGTTCTCATTTAAAATAAAGTAAAAACAACTATCATATCTACTTCTAGTAAACCCTATGCTCAAAATAAAAGTGTCAAACCTCTTGTACCATTGCCAAGGGGACTGTTTCAGCCCATATAAAGATTTATGCAGGAGGAAAGCATGGTTAGGAACTCTATAGTCTACAAAGCCTATTGGTTGGCACATGTAAATTTCCTCTTCTAAATTTCCATGCAAGAAGGTAGTGCTCACATCCATTTGTTCTAACTCTAGGTTGTGATGGCAACTATGGAGAGCATTAGTCTAATGGTCTTATATTTGACCACGGGGGAAAAAACTTCATTGAAGTCTATCCCCTCGCGTTAGGTGTACCCCTTAGCAACTAACCTAGCTTTGTACCTAGGTGGGTCAGTAGCTAAAAAACAATCTTTTATCTTAAACAACCATTTACATTGGATCAACTTCTAGTCCTTTGGTTTAGGACCAAGGACTAGGTTTTGTTTACCTCAAGTGACCTCATTTCCTCTTCCATTGCTGCCCTCCACTTTTCCTTCTCCTTGGAACTCATAGCTTCTTCATATGATTCAGGTTCTGTCCTTTGCACCTCTGTTCCTGCAAGTAAAGCAACGAAATTAGTTCAGCATATGAAAATCTAGCAGGGGGCCTTACCTTTCTCCTTATTCTATCCCTTGCAAGTTGATAATGCTCCAGTTGATCATGCCGTGGTTCTGGTACATCTGTTATAGCTTCTTGATTCAGGACCATTGGATCCTGGTTGAGCTTCTGGGACCTATTTATCTTCAGGTTGAGATGGTTTAGCTTGTTGACCCACAGGCTCCACCTCAATTGGTGTAGTCTCCGTGGAGTGGATTGTATTTTCAGAGGTAATGTGGTTGCCTACATCATGGTTAGTAGCTTTGTAAGGGAAAACCCCTTCATTAAACACTACATCCCTACTTATGATGATTTTTACCCCTGGTGACTCTCTATCCCAAAGTTTATATCCCTTCGTCTCTTCTTGATACCTTAAGAACACACACTTTGTGGACCTAGGCTCTAACTTCCCTCCTCCTATGTGTGCATGGGCTGCACACCCAAACACCTTTAGGTGGCCTAGATCAGGCCTTCTCCTAGCCCACATCTCTTCAAGGCATTTAAAATTTATAGGTGTGGATGAACTTCTGTTTATCAAGTAGGCTGTAGTGGCCAGGGCCTTTCCCCAAAATGTATTTGGCAGTCCTAAGGTAAATAACAAGCATCTTACCTTTTCTAGGAAGGTTCGATTCATCCTCTCAGCAACCCCATTTTGCTGAGGAGTTTTTCTTACTGTTCTATGCCTTAAAATGCCTTGGTCCCTGTAGAATCTATCAAATTCAGCATCGCAGAACTCTAGGCCATTATTAGTTCTTAGGGTTTTCACTCTCTTGTCTAATTAATTTTCTATAAGTAACTTCCACTTTATAAACTTAGACAGGGCTTGATCCTTAGTTCTTAGAGGGTAGACCCACACCTTTCTACTGTAATCATCCACAATAGACATAAAATAGCTATTCCTCCCATGGGATCTGACCTTTTCAGGCCCCCACAAATCAGAATAGAGATACTCTAGGCAGCTAGTTGCTAGGTGTGTTCCCTTTGGGAAGCTAACCCTATGTTGCTTACCTAAGACACAATTCTCACAAAATTCTAAGGTGGAAACATACTCTTTATCAAACATTCCCTGGTTACTCAGAATGTTTAATCCCTTCTGGCTCATGTGGCCTATTCTAAGGTGTCATTTTTCAGTCATAGACAAGTTTGAGGAGACTAGGGCAGTATTGAAACAATCTGAACAAAAATCACCACATAGGATATATAACCCATTCCTTTTTTCCCCTTTCAGAATCATGTTTTCGTTCCTATACACTTTCAACCACCCATTTTCAACCCTATAGTAACAACCTGCTTCATCTAAGGTTCAAAATGAGATAAGGCTCCTCTTGAGTTCAGGGATAAACCTAACTTTAGTCAGTTTTATCAATTTCCCCCTGCTAAGCCTGAGTGTTATACTGCTTATGCCTTTTACTCTACAAGCATGGTTGTTCCCTATAAACATAGTCTCATTTTCATAATCTTTGAAGTCCTAAAACCATTCTCTGTTTGGGCTCATATGGAATGAGCATCCTGAATCTAATACCCACACTTTGTACTATCTGATATAGAAATAGTAAGGACCTCTAGTTCTTCTGTTAAGCTTTTAGTGGAGGCAATATTACTCTCTGTATTTCGCTGTTTGTGTTTCTTAAGCCACTCATAACAATTCTTTTTTAGGTGACTAGTTTTGTTACAAAAAAAAAAACATTTCCTAGATTCAAACTTTTGTTTATTATTCCATTTACCCTTTTTCTTGTTTTTGGACCCCTGACTAAATTGGTTTCCCTTCGCTAGTTGGCCAGTTTCTAGTTTGCCCCTAACAAATAGGTTGTTGCCATTTCGTTTTTGCACTTTCAATTCTAGTTCCCTAGCTTTAAGACTTACTACTATTAGGTCAACACTAGGGATAGTACTAGAGTACTAGAGAGCATTCTTGACTACTTGGTAGTCATCGGTTAAAGAATTCAGTAATATCATGGCCAAACTGGTTTCCTATAATTCTTGATCGACTCCCTTTAAGATAAGGGTCATTTTCAGAAATTCGTCTAGGTTTTCCTCTATGGTCTTACTATTGTCCATTTTATAAGAAAATATGGCACCTCTGAGGAAAGCTAAATTGGGAGCAGATTGAAGAGCATACAGAGATTCAAGCTTATTCCACAACTCCAGAAGGGTTTCAATTCCATCAACCTTCTTTAGGATACTGTCTTATAGGTTCATCACGATCAGATTATAAGCTTCTTCGTCATTCTCCTTCTTCTTCAGTTTCTCTTTAGTCTACTTCTTAGGACCCTTCTCCAATGCGAGGCCGACTTTGTTGTGAGAGAGAAGGGCCTTCATCTTCTTCTTCCAACTCCCGAAGTCGATCTTCCCATTATATTGGGTGATCTCCATTCAAGTGGTGTGATGTAGTGTTTGGGTTTGGTGTTTAGAAATTGATGGACTCAAGAACTCAGACTGTTCTTGAATTTCAAGATTCGAATACAACCTTAATTCTCTACCCTTGGTATAATCGACCCTAGTCACTCAGATATAGGCTCTATGGACACTTAATAGGATCAAGAAACCCTACAATTGAGAAAGCCCCAAATTTTGACAACCCAAAAAAAACCCTAGGATTTTCAGATCTAATTTCCAGAATCCAGTTTCCCAAAGACTTGTTACCAAAAAAGCTCTGCTACCATTGTTATGCTATAATCTGAAATATGCCTAGAACAAACACACACAACAATCAAAATAGTCACACAAACACTAGAATTACCGTGGTTCACTTGCTCTAGATTCAAGCAAGCTACTTCCACGTTGAGCTCTTGAAATGGGGATCTCGCTGCACTACTATTAATATTGAATCAATAATTTATAGCCCTATTCAAGAACACGCTCAAGATCCTCCTCTCATAGTCCTGAAATACAACCCGTAACCTGACTTTAGGGAGACTCTAACCCACGAAATCCCTAGAACAAGAGCTATCCCACTCTTTTCCTAATGATTAACACAAATCACTTAAGAATCACACAAGTTACACTCAATTTCAGATCAAAATTGCAAACCCTAACAACGAACACAAAACAAAGGAGAATGCTTTGAAAGAGAACTAAAGGGTGTTTTTGAAATTTGTTGTGCTTTTTATATTATTGACTAGAAGTAGGAATTCCAGCCATTGGATTGGTGTTGAATCAATAGTCAGGATCCAATTCAAAGAACTGATCCAAATGGTGAAATTTCACTAATCCTCCAAAATGATGACGTTTTTGCATTCACTTCAACACTTACTTTTTATTCAGATTAGGGGGCAGATTTTTTTATTAAACCTTTGTAAGTCATACTTGTGCACAGGGAAAACAAAGAAAGCAATACAAGAATAGTGGACATAGGGCTTGCACTAAGTTTGTGAATTTAAGTTTATTTTCATATTTATAAATCAAACACTTAAGTTTGTGAATTGCATTTACGTCACGGCATAAAATTTCCTTTGTTGCAACAAGCGTCCCAACCTTTACGTTTCTCCTTTGTTTCTTCTTCATGCCACAATCGGTATTTTTCCTCGCCGTAACAACCAGCTTATGGAATTTTTCCAAAGCTAAACATCCTCTTTTGCAGTTGCATACTTTTTCTTCTACATTTTCATCAATTACAAAAAAGTGTTCGCATTTCAAGACTCCTCTTTGAACCTTTTTGGAAGTAAACTTCAAAGCATGTTCTTCATTCTCAGATTATAGGATTCTATATCCAATTAACTTTGAATGCCTTTACGGCTCTTCAAGCCTTCATGGCTTTTCATGCCTAACTTGCAGCTAATCTTGCTACTTTGCTGCCAGTTTTGTAGCTATCTTGCATCCTATTTTACTGCCTAAATTTTTTGCTTTTATGGCTAACCTTGCAATCATCTTGGTACCATAACTTGCATATTTCTTCTCCCTCCAAACTGCTTGTTGGAGTGGTCTCACACAACCTTTTGTTGTGTAAAACATGTTCTTCGGCATGCTTCTTTTGGACATCGTCAAGTCCTCTCACTGGTTCTCGTCGACATTCTTCTTCCTCCACCCTTCTGTTGGAGTGATCTCACATAACATTTTGTAGTGTAAAGCATGTTCTTCGACATTCTTCTTTTGGACATCGTCAAGTCCTCTCGTCGACATTCTTCTTTCTCTACCCTTGTGTTGGAGTGATCTCATACAATCGTTTGTTGTGTAAAACATGTTCTTTGACGTGCTTCTTTTTTGGACATTGTCAAGTCCTCTCGTTGGTTCTTGCCGACATTCTTCTTCCTCCACCCTTCTATTGGAGCCTTTTTTTATTTTTTATTTTATATATAAAGTAAGCACTATACATACTTACTTATCCTTTCTTCAACAACTTTAGCTTACCGCTTTTGGTATTGGCTTCTTCTCTCCAATGTTCTGTTAGAGCAACATATCTTCTCACAAGTTTCATCTCTCATAGGCCTTTAAGAATTAGAGTTCTGATACCAATTGTTGAAAATTGATAGGGTGCTCTGATACTAATTGTTGGAAATTGAGAGGTTGCTTTGATACCAATTTTTGGAATTTGGAGCAATAACAAAATAAAAAGAAGTGATGAACACAAAAGAAAAACATCCAACTCCATTATTTTATTGATAAACTTCTTTCTCTCAATTACACACAAACCAACGTTTTTTCTTCTCTTATATAGAAAAAGCTAACAATCATAGAACTAAACAAAATCTATTCTCCCACTTAAACAAGGAAACGAAATAATAATCCTGAATAAATTCTACTTCCCTAATTCAACTCAAAATAAAAAAGGAAAACAATTAATCCTAAACTCAAACTCTAAAACTAGAAACTAATTACTAAAAATCAAACACTTAAGTTTGTGAATCACATTTGCGCCGTGACATGAAATTTTCTTTGTCACGGCAGGCCTCCTAGCCTTCACATTTCTCCTTCGTGCCATCACAAGAATTTTTCCTCGCTACGGGGCCCACTTCTGGAAT